GCACAGTTGGACTTGATCTTGACTCCTTGACGTGGTTTCTGTCTGAGTTAGCCGGATACCTGTTAATCATTGTGCTCCTGTTGGACAGAGCTTTTACTGCTTTAAAGATGAGCTTTCTACTGTAGATTGAAAGAAAAATCTTTTTATATCTGGTGAACAATGACATCTCTAAGTAGCTGTGTAAATTATAAACGTGTCATTCTGGAGGGGCAAGAGCCTACAAATTGTCATGTTGCTGGCACTGATAGGTTCTCATCCCAGAGAAATCACCGTACTAGCACCGCCAGCTTTAGTTTCTGTAAAAACAAATAGACTAAGAGAAATTTAGGGACTAGTAAAATGAAAAGTTAAAAAATTTTTAAATAGTGACTATTTCAGTACTTAGACTTCTTCATTTTTAGGATAATAGTAAATAGAAGTAGTCAATTTCTTAAGAGATGAACCACCAAATTTAATATGTTTTGTAGAGAAGAGACTACACTGATATTATAGAGGTAATCATAATTACAGTGAATTATTTAACCATATAAATTTACTTAAAGTTCTTTTGGGTCAATTTTTTTTTTTTTTTTTTTTTTAAAGACGGAGTCTCACTCTGTGACCCAGGCTGTAGTGCAGTGGCGTGATCTCAGCTCACTGCAACCTCCACCTCCTGGGTCCCAATTCAAGCAATTCTCCTGCCTCAGCCTCTCGAGTAGCTGGGATTATAGGCATGTGCCACCATGCCCAGCTAATTTTTGTATTTTTAGTAGAGACGGTGTTTCACAGTCTTGGCCAGGCTGGTCTTAAACTCCTGACCTCGTGATCCACCCACCTTGGCCTCCCAAAGTGCTGGGATTACAGGCGTGAGCCACCGCGCCCGGCCTGGGTAAATATTTAAAAATCTCTTTTCTGTTTTATATACTTGCTTGATTTAAATTGTGATTATCACTTTCATGCCTTGTGGCCTTTTGGGGGGCAAGTATAAAAGCAACAGGGTATTAATATAAAAATCTAAATTGTAGATAAATTTAAATTATTTTTAAATTTTTTATTGAAACACTATAGGACCAAGAAAATAATTTACATTTTTAAAGAAGGTTAGACTATCATGAATTCTTTCTCTGATACCTGATTGCCAGTTTAGGTTTCAAGAGCACATCTTGGAATCAAATCAATCATGTACGTAAGTAGTTTGAAGGGAAAACAGATTTTGGTCTATAAAAATAGAATGTTGCTTTGAGCTATCCAGGTAGTTTCTCTTTATAAACTTAGTAACCCATTAGAGCTTAGCCAGTCTCTAAAGATTTTCTGAGGTGTCTTCTGCTCTCTTAGTGTAGGAGATCAAACACTGTACCAAGATACCTAAATATGGAGTTCTTGTCTCAGCTTTACTGCCACTCGGCTGTATAAAGCGGGGCAAATCGCTTAACTCCCCTAGGCCTGTAGTTTTTCATCCTTAAGAAGAGAGGGCGGCACCAGTAGATAATCTCTAAAATGCCTTTCACCTCTCGTATTTGTATGAGCTTTTTTGTTCTCTCCTTTACTAAACTCTGCAATAGAATGCAGTTAAAGTATAAAAGATCCTCAGAAAAGGTAAACAGCTTTAACAGTTCAACTTTACAGCCTTTGGAAGTGAAGCTGCCCAAAGGGTGTAAATAATTTGTAAGCAACTCTGGATAGTTTTTTGTTTTTTGTTTTTAAAACAACAACAACAACAACAAAACCTTTTGGCCATAAAAACATTTGACACAGTTTTAACAAATTAGGAGGTTTTATGGGGCCAGAATGTAAAAGCTGCCTTTTGACTTGTGAATTTTGCTTTTCTAGGTTACGTGGTACTTCTGTAATCGTTAGATTTGTGACCAATACGACCAAAGAGAGCAAGCAAGACCTGTTGGAAAGGTTGAGAAAATTGGAATTTGATGTATCTGAAGATGAAATATTCACATCTCTGACTGCAGCCAGAAGTTTATTAGAGCAGAAACAAGTCAGACCCATGCTGCTAGTTGATGATCGGGCACTACCTGATTTCAAAGGTCGGGAAGATTTGGAAAGTTTAAAAATTAGATCTTTATATGTACTTACAAATAATTTTTAAAACTGGATGTTTAGAGATGTTTATTCTGATTTCCCTGTTATTATTGAATATTTGGTAATACTGATAGTTTGAATCTAAATTGGCATTCCCCAAACCTTTTTTGACTGTAACCCATAGTAAGAGAAACACATTACATAGGAACCTAATACATATCTATATGTGTGTCTTTATGGAAGTTAAGCAATACTTACTCGTGCTGTATAACATGTATTTTGTATTCTTTTTGGTTCGATTGTTTATTTGATTATGATGCTGCTTAGAGCCCTCCAAATTAGTTTCACAGTCTAATAATAGATCACAACCCATAGTTTGAAAAAACACAGGTCAAAATTACTTTGAGTATTGTAATCTAATCCTCAGTGCAGGAGCCACTATATTAACTTGATTAAATGAGATATGCCAGGTCTCTTTGTTTGAAGTAGATGTCATTCTCAATAGTGTGAAGTTTTTACAAGTAAACATGAAATATTTTCAATCAAGAGAAAAGTGTTTCTCTTTGGAAAAGTCAACAGATTCTGGAAGAATATCATAGTTTTGTGAAGCTTTGCCACATTGCCTCTTTTCAGGGAGGATACTCGAGTGAAATGACACAATATAGAAAATGGGGTATAAGTTCAGCCTGGCTATAGAGTTGGGCAGACCTCAAAATTAATACAACAATGTACCCCAGTCAGAATTATTATTTGCAAGAAATAGAAACAAACTTTGGCTGAATTAAACAGAAAATAAATTTATTAAAAGCATCTGAGTGCTGATGGGAATATAAAATGACATGAAGCCTATGGAGAGGAATTTGGCAGTAGCTAGCAAAATTACATATGAAGCAGCACTTGTAGGAATCTATCTTTAAAATATAGTTACAAAAATACACAATGACATATGAACAAGGTTATTCATTACTACCCTATTTGTAATAACAAAAGATTGGAAACAACCCAAATGTTTATCAGAAGGGACTGATTGAATAAACTGTGATATATTCACAAAATGGAATGGCTTGTAGCTGAAAATTAAATAATGATGACGAGTTCTTCTCTTGATAAGGAGTGCTCTGCATAGGATGTATTAAATGAAAAAAGTAAGGCGTAGAAATCTTTATACATTTTCTGTGTAGGAAAATGAGAAGAAAATGGATATACGTATTTTGTCTTGTATTTGTAAAAGGAAGCCAAAGAAGGATAAATGAAAAACTAATAAAAATGGTTACCTAAAGGGGAAGCGAGGGAGGAGGGATAGATCAAGAGAGGAGGCTTTTTAAAAAGTCCCCATTGCATATTTTGACTTTGGAACCATATGAATATTTTATATAATGAAAAGGCAACAAGTGAAAAACCAGCCTCTAAATAGAAATGAACTTAACTCTGTATCAGGCTGATGACATCACCACTCAGAGAAAAGAATTACTTTAAATGACTTTAAAGTACATTATTTTGACCTGTTCATTCATAGTGGGATAGATAAATTCTAAGGACAAAAGAACTACAAAGAGATCTTAAACTTCATTCAGGAGTCTTATTAGTAATACTGGTATTTTTTTTTTTTAATTAAAGGCATATATGGGACAAAGTGAAGTAGTAACTATTAGATTTTAAGAGTCAGTGAAAAGAGATGCAAATGTAGAAATCAAGTAAGTTAAATAAAAGTCGTGTATTACTACTTTTAAATAGAAAATATAGTTATCAACACCTTTATTCTCTTAAATAATACATATATTGTAATCCTCTGCTGGAATGGCCTAAAGCAGTGATAATGCAGTGCTCAGACTGTGGTATCTACTGTCATTTCCCATTGTAGTTCTTTGGAAAAATTACTGATTTCAGATCTGGACAGACATTCTATGAGTCTGGAATAGCATATTGCGTTAGCAAAGAAACTACTGGAGGATACGCATGGCTAAGGAATACTCATGGTAAGGAGGAAGTTGGAAAGCCTGGATATGTGCATCCAATAAGAGAGGCAAATAGGAATTGGTTTATGGATAATCCATGGAACCTTTAATCAGACTTTTAATAATTATGGAGAATGTACTTGTTTGATTATCATGTCTGAAGTTCTGTTATAAAATGCCTAGGCATTTAATTTAAAAAAAAATTGTGAAACTAAAAGTAGATTAGGCATTATGTAGAAAACTGTAGACTCTGCAGTGCATTTCATATTAATTATGAACATGTTAACCTCAGTTGTGTCAGTTAGAAAGTCTAATTTCCCTTGCCTCTTAGATTCTCAGTCCCTTATCTATTGCTGTCGATCTGATAGTTCATAGGGAACTCATGGCAGTTCTTGTTGATTGTAATCAGTAAAGCATATTAAAGTAAGAAATTGTTATTTGAGGACATCAGGTTACAATTTTCAATTCAGATCTTCTGGTTACTGAGTACCTGTAGACTGTGTACAAAGAATATGAAAAAATACTAGATTTTCCTTCTTTCTTTTTCCCCCCCAACCCCCATTTCCCTCTCCCTCTATGTACTCTTGTACTTCCAAAATACACTGGGGAGGATAATTTGTTAAATTTTAGATTATGGCTATAGCAAAAGTTTGCACTTGATTGACTAGAACTATTTTGTTTTAAATGTGACATTGCTTTTAATTGCGTTTTCAACAATTATATTTTTTTCCATTCCCAGGAATAAAAACAAGTGATCCTAATGCTGTGGTCATAGGATTGGCACCAGAACATTTTCATTATCAAATTCTGAATCAAGCATTCCGGTAAATCTAGCTATTTATTTTTCATCTGATCATATAGTCCCCTTCTTCCTTTCCTTTGTCATGATCATGAATGGGTTTATGTGTTTTACTTTCTGGCCACCTAAACTGTACGTTAGGACAGACATCTTCAAGATCAACATAAAATAATATTTATTACTATCTTGACTTTTTTTTGTGTGTAGTATGTTTTTTTGTTTTTGTTTTGTTTTTAAGATGGGGTCTCACTCTGTCACCCAGGCTGGAGTGCAGTGACATCATCACGGCTCAACACAGCCTTCATCTCCCCAGGCTCAGGCTTGGGTGGTCCTCCCATCTCAGTTTTTGTATTTTTAGTAGAGATGGGATTTCGCCATGTTGCCCAAGATGGTCTCGAACTCCTGGCTGCAAGCCATCTGCCCACCTCAGCCACTCAAAGTGCTGGGATTACAGGCATTTGCCAGCATGCCCGATCAGCAGTTTTTTCTTTTATTATTACTCCTGTGATTCTCCATTTACTATGCTAATCTCTGAAGGAAAACATTATCCAGGATAATTCACCAAAAACAATAAATGTGATTCTACCTCCAGTGAGAATCCAGGCTGTGGAAAAGAGTTGACACATTTGACCACACTTTAAAAGAAATTTATTTGATGGTTGGTAATGATGCAGTGAGCTGGAATAGTGGCAGTGGGGATGAAGAAAAACAGATTCAGATACCATTAACATGTCTTGCTTTGGAGTTTAGTCAGTGAAGTAGAAGAGTGCCACAAGGGTACATCCAGATTTCTAACCTGAGCAAGTAAGATTAAGAACCCTTGGTTTGAGATTTAAGAGGTGATGAGTTTAGGTTTGGCCTGTGGAATATCCAAGCCGAGAGACATCAATGGCTGTGGGTAGACGAACGAGAACATAAGATGTTACAAATCTTCAGTTAATGTGTGTGTTTCCCTTAAATGAACTTTTTGCTGCTACTTCTAAAAGGAAGGCTGCATAATGCTTGTTCTTATACTTCCCAAGATAAATTGGATCAGAATTTATCTGCAGATCTGCTGTAGAATGAGATTGCAACTTTTTCCTTTGGATTTTGTAATTTTTCATGTTTTGCCTTTTATTTCTTGTTAAACCATTAAACAGTATAATTTACCTTTGAACGTATGTCAAGTATATAGTTCAAAATGTTACATAGAGATATATTGAACTAGCTTAGAAAAAATTTTTTAATAGCCTGGTAAAGTTTTTGTATTTAACTGCAGGAATCCTATTTAAAAAACCCAGAATTTTCTTACCAGTGCAAGGATCTATAAGAACCATTCTAACTTATATAGAATTCATTTCTTCATGGATATACCACAGAATTAGAATATTTATAGGAAACTATAAACATTTATTTGTGGCTCTAGTCACTATGATAGTCAAGCCCTTGTTTAAAAGGAGCAAACTCACTTTTTATAGTTGTTCAGTGTCTGTTTACCGTAATTATTTCCTGGACATTCACTGTTATGTCAGCTCACTTGAAGGCGTACTTCAGTGTATATGCTATTAAAATTACTTTTGCTTCCCCTACTTTTTCAATTATCCTACTTTGACTTTTGGTCGAGTGGGGAGAGATTATGCCATCTGCTCCTTAAGTAAGTTCTACAACTGTACCAACATCAGTTTTCATTTGAAACAGAGAATATGCCATTATTTCTTCTGAATTTATGCCTTCTATCTTTCACTCATTTATTTAACCACAGGATTCAAGGAAAAGATATTGATTTTAGCTGGTAATTTGGGAAGGACATATTTAATAGGAAATTGAGAGGTCTCTGTCTTAGATGAATACTAGATTCAGGGTAATAAAAATGTATGCTGACATAATACTGACTTTGTAATTGCTTGGATGCTGTCTAATTAGTACACTTTCCTAACCATATTGATTTTTTAAACACTACATTTTAAAACATTACAGTGTACTTATAGGTCAACTCTAATTTCAGAAATGCACTTAACAGCTGGGTGGAGAGTTAACAGAAGGATTTTAGGTCTTGCCCTTCTTTGCATATTGATGTTTCCACAGGGACTGCCTTCCAACCAATGACTGCATCTGTTTGGATTGTGTGTGGCAAATGTAGACATCTCAAATGAACCACTGATTAGTTAAATTACTGTTTAGGCCGATAATGACAATAAACATTGGATTTTAAAGCCCATTGCATGCCAGCTTCAGGGGCACGTTACATCAAAGCAGATACATCAGCTTTCACATTACGCTGCATCTTATTTACTGTGTTTTTAATGGATAGCCCTCCACAAAAATGCATAGTACAGCCTTTCTACAAATACCTCTTAAATGCCTAAATGGAATTGAGAATAGACTTTTTTTCTTTTTTCTTTTTTTTTTTTTTTTTTTTTTTTTTGAGGTTGATTCTCGCTCTGTCACCCAGGCTGGAGTGCAGTGGTGCTGTCTTGGCTCACTGCAACCTTTGCCATCTGGGTTCAAGTGATTCTCATGTCTCAGCCTTCCAAGTAGCTGGGACTGCAGGTGCATGCTGCCACACCCAACTAATTTTTGTATTTTTAGTAGAGGTGGGGTTTTACCATATTGGCCAGGCTGGTCTTGAACTCCTAACTTCAAGTGATCTGCCCGCCTCAGCCTCCCAAAGTGCTGGGATTACAGGCGTGAGCAACACACCTGGTGACAATAGATTTTAAAGAACTGATTTTGAGGAAGGATATGACTCAGTTATAGCTGATAGATATGATATGATTTGGGTATGAATTTTATAAAACATTCAAATCCAAAGAGCTGTTGGTAGCTTTTTTTCCTTTTACCCAGTACTGAAAGATATAAAGAACAATGTAATGAATACCTGTATGCCTATCAACCATTTTGAGAAACAGAAATTATTGACATGTTTGACACCCTTACATATCCCTTCCCAATATTATCAACCAGAGTTAAAAACCCAAAGTTTGGCCAGGTGTGGTGGCTCATGCTTGTAATCTTAGCACTTTGGGAGGCTAGGGTGGGTGGATTACCCGAGGTTAGAAGTTTGAGACCAACCTGGCCAACGTGGTGAAACCCTGTCTCTACTAAAAATACAAAAATTAGCCAGGTGTGGTGGCATGTGCCTGTGGTCTCAGCTGCTGACTGGAGAAGCTGAGGCAGGAGAATCGCTCGAACCCAGGAGGCAGAGGTTGCAGTGAGTGAAGGTAGCGCCACTGCACTCCAGCCTAGGTGACAGAGTGAGACTCCACCTTGAAAAACCCCAAAACCCAAAAAACCCAAAGTTTGAGCATTTAGGTAATAGACCAATTATAATTGAACTCGATGATTACTATTGGGAAAAAGACAAACAGGTCACTTATTATCTAACCTGAACTTAGTATTAACAAGGTTAAAAAATATCATAAAGTTAATATATCCTCATTATGGAAAAGTTTAAATGCTCAAGAAAGATAAATTAAAAATTACCTATAACCCTGCCACCTAAAGAGAACCACAGTTAACATTTTATAGCACATAGCTAGTTTCTTTGTTTCTATGCCCATACATGTTTACACAAAATTTAAAATGTATGTGTACCATGTAGTAACATGCTTTTTAAAAACCTAATGTATTGTGCATGCTTTGTCATATTCCTAAATATTATTCTAAAACCTATTTGATTCCTACGAAATATTCCATTTGAAGAAGCACACTGAAAATTGCTTTGCCACAAGTTCCTATTATTGTTGGTCTTCCAGGTTTTTGAAATTTGTTTTAAAAAACTTCTGAGAACATGTATTTATGCCTTCCTTATGATTTTTTTTTTTTCAGAGTTATAGTTGCCAGGCAAAGGAATTTTGGGAAAAAATTACGTGGAATTGCTTAGCCTAGAAAAAGTTTGAGGCCTTTTTTTCCTGAATTGAGCAACTAACTGCTCTCCAGCTCCTAGAGGAGCTTATTAAAATGTCGTTATACCTGAAGAGAAATGGCATCACAACTTTCACGTTTAAATGTATAGGCAAAGGCTATTTAAGAATAATGTTATTTGAAGTTTTGTTGATGACATTCTTCCCATAATTGCTGTAGAGTTTGAGAGTCCTCCAAAAGTCTTAGAGATGTACAGATTTTTTAAAAAAATTTTCAGGGTGAGCTTCTTATCACCATAAGTGGTCTTTGTTGACTGTTGGATTGCTTGCTTTCTGTCCTCCTTAAGGAAAAATTGTAAGTTTAATTACTCCAGTGTATTCAATCCTTAGTAAAAGGAAGAAAAGAAAGAAAACAAACAAAAATGGCCTCAGTACTGTATTTGTACAGTAACTCCTGAATCTTTTCTAAGTACTTGGAGCCCTGAGCATGAGGAATCCCAGAAAAGTGTAGCAGCAGGATTTAAATTAGAAATATATCTGTGGGCTTTTCCCACTTTTGAAAGGGTTGACGGCTATGCAGTATTCTTAATAGTCCATACTGCAAAATATTATGAAATACTTTGGAGGTGATAAATTGTTTTAAGATTTCAGAACTTGAGATATTTAAAGCATTTCATTATTGTGTGTGGGATAAGAAGTTTATATGCAGATCTGAAAATCATAGAATACAGAATTGAGTTGAATATCAGAATCATTGTTCTTATTTTGTAGTTTGAGGACATATTTACCAGGCAGTTCCTGCTACTCTAAATAAAAAGTTCATGTGAATAAACCACAAAAATGTATTGTTACTGATTTTTCTAAATTGAGGTATAACATGCACTATACGTTATACAAATTTTAAGAATGTAACTCAATACAATTTTACACATAGATATACCTATGTAACCCCCATTTGGTGACCAAGATACAGAACATTTTCAGCATCCCCGGTGGCTCCCTTTCCCAGTCAGTACCCTCCTTCCCCAGGATAACCACTGCTCTGACTTCTATCATTATTGCCAGTTCTTAATCTTCATGTGACTGAAATCATAGAATCATAGTGGTTTTTTGGTCTGCTTTTGAGATTTATCCACGTCTTTGCATGCACCAGTACTTTGGTTTTTATTTTGCTTCTTTGTTGTTGTTGTTGTTTGTATAGTAGTAGTCTATATGAATATTCCGCAGTTTATTTATTCATTCTGCTGTTAATGGACATGGGTTGTTTCCAGTTTGGGCTGTTATGAATAAAACTGCTGTGAACATTCTTGTATGTGTCCTCTGGGGGACATGTGCATTCAGTTCTCTTGGGTACATATCTAGAAGTCAAATTGCTAGCTAGTAGAATAGGTAATTGTTTAGTTTTAGTATTGCCAAACAGTCTTCCAAAGTGATTGTACCAAGTTGTGCATTCTTGCTAGCTACAAATGAGAGTTCTAGTGCTTCACATTCTCTGTTTAATAGTAGCTGTTCTGTTTGGTGTATATGGTGGTATCTTTGTTGAGTTTCTATTTGTTTTTGTTTTCATTTTGTTGTTGTTGTTGTTGTTATTGTTTTTTCAAAAACAGGGTCTCACTCTGTCACCCAGGCTAGAGTGCAGTGGTACTATCATAGTTCACTGTAGCCTCAAACTCCTGGACTCAAGAGGTCCTCCTGTCTTAGCCTCCCAAGTAGCCAGGACTACAGGTGTGTGCCACCATACCTGGCTAATTTTTAATTTGTTTTTGTAGAAATGGGGTTTTGCTATGTTGCTAGATGGTCTCAAACTCCTGACCTTAAATGATCATCCTACCCCAGTCTCTCAAAGTGCTGAGATTGCAGGTGTGAGCCATTGCATCCAGCCTCAGTTTCAATTTGTATTTCTCTGATGAGTAATGTTGAAACCTTTTGGTATATTTATTAGCCATTTGGATATCTTTTGTTTTATGTTTTCTGATTGGGTTGTCTTTTACTTACAGATTTGTCAGAGTTCTTCATGTGTTATGTCTATGAGACTTTGGTTCCATATGTGTACCACAGGTATCCCTGTCTTTGTTTTGCCTTTTCACTGTCTTAATAGTATGAGAACATCAAGTTCTTAATTTTGATGTAGTTCAATTTGTCAGTATTTTCATCTGTTCCAAGAAATTTTTGCCTACCCCAAGGTCATGAAGATATTTTCCTGTGTTTTCTTCTGTAAGCTTTATTGTTTTACTTTTAACAATTAGGTGTAGAATCTATTTTGAATTAATTTTTGTGAATCGTGTGAAATAGAGGTTCATTTTTATCTGTAGGTATTCATTTGCTCCAGCAACATGTATTGCAAAGATCCGTTCTTTTCGCCATTGGATTTATGCTTTTGACATAAATCAAGTGACTAGATTCTTTATCTGTACTTATGCCATTCCACACTGTCTTGATTATTGTAGCTTCATGATAAGCCTTAATATCTGGTAATGTATATCCCCCATCTTTATTCTTTAAGATTTTCGTGGCTATTCTACATCCCTTGTATTTCCATACAGATTTTGAAATCAACTTGTTAATTTCCACAAGGCCTGCTAGAAATTGATGTTTCATTAAATCTATGGATTTCGGTAGTATTTATATCTGTACAATAAAATATCTTCCAGTCTACGAAAATAAAATGTATCTCTATTTATTTGAGTTTGTTTTTGTTTATTTTTACATTTGCTCTCATCAATGTTTTATAGTTTTTAGAATATGCGTCTTAGACATTTTGTTAACTTAATTCTTGTCTTTCATGTTGTTTGATGCTATTGTAAATTGTATTCTTGTTTTTGTTTTTCTGAGATGGAATTTTGCTCTTGTTGCCTAGGCTAGAGTGCAGTGGTGTGATGTCAGCTCACTGCAACCTGCACCTTCCAGGTTTAAGAGATTCTCCTGCCTCAGCCTCTATTACAGGCATGTGCCACCATGCCCAGCTAATTTAGGTATTTTTAGTAGAGATGGTATTTTTAGTTTCGCCATGTTGGCCAGGCTGGTCTCAAACTCTTGACCTTGTGATCCACCTGCCTTCACCCCTCAGAGTGTTGGGATTACAGGCGTGAGCCACTGCGTCTGGCCTTGTATTTTGTTAAATTTCATTTTTATTTGTTTATTGCTAATACATAGAAGGAAAATTGGGTTTTTGTATGTTAATGTTGTATCCAGCAGTCTTCCATTTACTTGCTAATTATAATAAAGTTTTGTATTAGTAGAATCTTTTGGATGGCATTTTCTACATAGAAAATTTAGACAATAATGACAATTTTGTCGCCTTCCAATGTTAAAATTCTTTTCATTTTTCTTCCTTTCTTATACTGTCTGGGACTTCTAGTACACTACCAAACAGATGTGGTAATAGTAGATAGCCTTATCTTACTTCTAAATTCAGGGGTAGAACTTTCAGTATTTCACCACTTTCAGTATTTCTTTCTAGGTCATAAGCTGTATTTGTTTGTTTTTAATCCCAAAGACTTCAAAACTGTGGGTTGTTTTTTTTTTTTTTTAAAATTCTGATTATAATTAGAAATAGCAGTGTTGAAGTTGTCTTAAGATCTTCTATTTTAATTTTTCATTTTATCTTTCACTTTGGATGTATAGTATTCTTAGATTTCTATTTTATGTGGAACATTGAGTCTTTACAAATTCATTATTTTTTTTCAGTAATTAATGAGAATTACTGTGTCAGTGTGAAATTGGAGGTATTTGGGGGGTTTCAATTAATTAAATGTTAATGGGATTTTCCTTTGGTATTTTTCATGATTCACTAGTTTTAATTTGAACTTTTGATAGTTTATGTTTGTCGAGTTGATTGGTATTTTTAATGTGTTGAATGTTAACACTTTGGCATTACTTTAGTTCAGCGATTCTCAATCAGGGGACAATTTTGCCCCCTAAGGAATATTTGGTAACATTTGGAGACATTGTTGGTTGTCATAACTGAGGGAGAGGGGTACTACTGGTGTATGGTGGGTAGAGACCAAGGATGCTGCCAAATATCATGTAATATATAGGTCAGCCCCACAACAGGCATTTTCTGGCCTAAAATAGTAGTGCTGAAAAACCCTGATCTAATTTAGCACTTTGTTTGAAACTGAAGCCCACAAATGTGAAGTTACTTGCCATTATTTATTTTTAGTATAGTTATTACACTTCCTACGTTTATGTATAAATATAGTCGTCATAGCCAGGCACAGTGGCTCACCCAGCACTTTGGGAGGCTGAGGCAGGCAGATCACAAGGTCAGGAGATTGAGACCATCCTGGCCAACATGGTGAAAACCCGTCTCTACTACAAATTAAAAAATTAGCTGGGCCACGGTGGTGGGTGCCTGTAATCCCAGCTACTCGGAAGGCTGTGGCAGGAAAATAGCTTGAACCAGGGAGCCAGAGGTTGCAGTAAGCCGAGATCACACCACTGCATTCCACCCTGGTGACAGAGTGAGATTCTGTCTCAAAAAATAAAAGAAAGTAGTTCAGGACACCAAGGCATACAGAGGCTCATCCATGATTTAATTTATTGAATAAACATTTACCAAAAAGTACCACTTGTTTTTTTTTGTGTAGGAAGTACAGTGATGACTAGAACTGATAGGCAGACGACTGTGTTCTAGTGAGGAAGACAGGCCAAACACAGTAGGATAAAAATTACCCGTCGTGGTGAGTGATACGAAGAACAAAAGGGATTGAGATAGAAATCAGATGTGAGGAGGGAGTCCATTTTATTTGAAGAGACATTGAAAATGACTTCTTTGATTTGCTGACATGTAAGCTGAAACCTGACAAATGAGCAGAAGAAATCTATGTGAAAAGTATGGGGAACCGTTTCAGGTAGAGGGGGCACCGTGTGGGGGCTGAAGCAGGAAAGAGTTTGACATTTTTTGAGGAAGTGAGAACAGAGTATTGTGGCTGGAGCTCAGTCAGTGATTGGGAAAAGTAACTTGAGATGAGAGTGGAGTTGTAGGGTGGGGGGCAGATAGGGCAAGGCCTAAGGCAAGGCCTAAGGTCCTAAGATAGGGCAAGGACTGTGCTAAGGACTTTACTGGTTGCAGTGAGAAGCTATTAAAGAATTTTGAGCAGGGAAGGGACATGATCACATCTATCTGCACTTTTCAAAACTCCCACTATTGTTTATACAGTGGATTGGAATAATAGGTCAAGAGTAAAATGCAGGAAGACCGATTGTAAGGCTATTACAGTTCAGGTGAAGGAGTAAGACAGTTTTGAGGTATTTTAATTTTTGTTTCCCAGTTGGAAATTACTGGATTTCCTAGTGAATAGGGATGTGGAGGTGGTGGGAGAAAGTAGGAAATCAAGGATGACAGCTAGGGTTCTGGCTTGAGTAACTGGGAGAAATTACTGAGATGGGAAAGATTGGGTGAGGAACGCTTTCGGGGAGTGGGGTGAGAGGGTAAGAGGGACTTAACAGTTTGATGTTGGACATATGATACGTGTTTAAACTGCAGTCTAATTCATTCATTACTTAAACAGCAGTATAATTTCATTTTCACACGCTTCATCTTCAGGGAAAATAGTTAAGTTGTTTAGAACGACAGCGTAGTGTTCAGGCATATCTCTTTTTACTTTGCATTATTGCACTTCACAGATACTGCATTTTTTTTTTTTTAAACAATCTGAGTTTGCAGTAACCGTACATTGAGCAAGTCGTCGTCATCATATTTCCAACAGCATGTCCTCACTTTGTGTCTCTGTGTCACATTTTGGTAACTCTTGACAATATTTCAAACTTTTCATTATTATTGTGTATTATAGTGATCAGTGATCTTTGGTATTACTATTGTAATTGTTTTGGGAGCTACAAACCACACCCATGTAGGATGGCAAATTTAATGTTTTGTGTGTTCTGACTGTTCCGCCAGTCAGCTGTTCCATCTCTCTTCCTCTCCTCTGGCCTCCCTATTCTCTGAGAAACAATGATACTGATATTACGCCAATTGATAACCCTACAGTGACCTTTAAGTGTTTAAGTGAAAGGAAGAGTCATATGTCTCTTAAAGTCAGAAGCTAGAAATGAGTAAGGTTAGTAAGGCATGGTGAAAGCTGAGACTGGCTGAAAGCTAGGCCACTTGTGCCAGATAGCCAAGTTGTGAATGCAAAGGAAAGTTCTTGAAGGAAATTAAAAGTGCTACTCCAGTGAGCACCTAAGATAAGAAAGCAAAACAGCCTTATTACTAATGTGGAGAAGTTTTAGTGGTCTGGATAGAAGCTCAAACCAGCCACAACATTCTCTTAAGTCTCCTCAGTTCTGGGAAGTCTAAGAGAGGTGAGGAAGATACAGAAGAAAAGTTTGAAGTTAGTAGAGGATGGTTCATGAGGTTTAAAAAAAGAAGCTGTCTCCATAAACTTGCATTAAAGTGCAAGATGAAGCAGCCAATGCTGATGTAGAAGCTACAGCATGTGTACGGTGGCTCACGTCTGTAATTCCAGCACTTTGGGAGGCTGAGGCAGGTAGATCACAAGGTCAGGAGTTGGAGACCAACCTGACTAACATAGTGAAACCCTGTCTCTACTAAATATACACAAAATTAGCCAGGAGTGGTGGTGCATGCCTGTAATTCCAGCTACTCAGGAGGCCGAGGCAGGAGAGTCGCTTGAACCTGGGAGGCAGAGGTTGCAGTGGGCCAAGATCGTGCCATTGCACTCTCGCCCAGGCAACAGTGCAAGACTCCATCTCAAAAAAAAATCTACAGCATGTTATCTAGAAGATCTACCTATGATCATTAATAAAGCTGTCTATACTTAACAACAGATTTTCAATGTAGGTGAAACAGTCTTTACATTAGAAAAAGATGCCACCTAGGACTTTCATAGCTAGAGAGGAGAAGTCAGTGGCTTCAAAGGACAAGCAGACTCTCTTGTTAGGGGCTAATGCAACTGGTGACTTTAAATTAAAACCTGTGTTCTGTAAGTGGAGTAACAAAGCCTGAGTGACAGCACATCAGTTTACATCATGGTTTATTGAATGTTCTAAGCCCATTGTTGAGACCTACTGATCAGAAAAATAGATTCCTTTCAAAATAATACTACTTATTGACAAAGCACCTGGTCACCCAAGAGCTCTGTTGGAGATGTGCCAGGAGATCAATGTTGTTTTCATGCCTGTTCACACAACACCCCTTCTGCCACCCACAGATCAGGGAGTCATTTGACTTTCAAGCCTTATTATTTAAAAATATATATTTTCTAAGACCATAGCTGTCATAGATAATGATTTCCTCTGATGGATCTGGGCAAAGAAAATTGAAAACCTTCCAGAAAGGATTTATCATTCTGGATGCCATTAAGAACATTCATGATTCATGAAAGGAGGTCAAAATGTCAACATCAACAGGAGCTTGAAAGAAGTTGATTTTAACCCTCATGGATAACTTTGAGGGGTTCAAGACTTCAGTGAAGGAATTAACTGCAAATATGGTAGAAATAACAAAATAACTAGAATTAGAAGTAGAGCCTGAAGATGTGACTGAATTGCTGCAATCTCATGATAAAGCTTGAATGGATGAGGAGTTGCTTCTTTTGGATGAGCAAAGAAAGTGGTTTCTTGAGATAGAATCTACTCCTAGTGAAGATGCTTTGAACATTGTTAAAATAACAAAAGATGTAGAATATTACAAAACTTAGCTGATGAAGGCAGCAATAGGGCTTGAGAGGATTGGCTCACAATTTTGAAAGAGGTTCTGTTGTGGGTAAAATAACTGTCAAACAACATCACCTACTACAGAGAATTCTTTCATGAAGATTAAATTGATGCAGCAAGCTTCATTGTTGATTTATTTTGAGACATTGCCACAGTGACTCAGCCTTCAATGACTACCACCCTGATCTGTCGGCAGCTATCAACATCGAGGCAAGGCCTTCTACCTGCAAAAAGCTTATGACTCCCTAAAGTCT